AAGTAGGTGGAAGCATGCAGTAGGAAGGCGTTGGAAGGGGATTGGGTGCCCGCCCGCTCCCGGAGCAGGAGTGCACAGGGAAAACCACCCGGTCGTTGAAGTCGGAAGGCGCTTAAAATAGATCTGGAATCTGGAAATCCAGAAATACCTACTGTCAACGACCGACAGGTCAACGCCCGCGCTGGGGTGGCCGCCGGTCGACACGACGCGAACCTGCCGTGCAAATTCCCGCCTCGGAGTTGGCGCAACCTGTACAGACCCCCGACGTCATGATGTTTTCATGGCGCGACCCCCACAGGTCTGGACCCATTCCCCGGGACCGGTCTTTCACCCCGAGTCGTTCTTGCTGACGGTCCCGAGGCCCGGCGAGGGCCCCCAGAGGGCGAAAATTCTGAAAACCTCCCGTCGTGACTTCTTCACGACGCGAGGTGGTCTGGGCATGCACGGCCGCCAGGCGCCCACGAGGCGCCCCCCGAGGCGCCCACCGCGGGCGGCCCGCGGGCGGGCACCGGGCGCGCGCGGGGCGCCCGCGCAGGGCGGCCCACGGGGCGGGCGCCCCATGACACCGCGCCCGCGGGGCGCCCGCGAGGCGCCCGCGAGGCGCCCGCGGGGCGCCCGCGGGGCGGGCGCCCGCGGGTGGGCAGCGGGCGAAGCCTCGCGCGAGGCGCCCCCCGAGGCGCCCGCGAGGCGGGCAGCGGGCGGCACCGCGGCAGAGCCGCCCCCCGCGCGAGGGGCGCCCACGAGGCGCCCAGCAGCCGGGGGCACCAGCCGAAGGCGGTGGGCTTGTGCTTCACGGCCACCACCACGAGTAGGAGGGGGAGGGGGTCCTCCTCCTCCCTCCTCCTCCTCCTCCTCCTCCTCCTCCCCTCCTCCTCCTCTCCTCCTCCTCCTCCTCCTCCATCTCCTCCTCCTCCTCCTCCTCCTCCTCCTCCTCCTCCTCCTCCTCCTCCTCCTCCTCCTCCTCCATCTCCTTCACCCCTCCAACTCATGGCGGTGGTGGTGGAAAACAAGCCCGTCACACCACGCGAAACCTCGGCAAACCCACCCACCGCGCGAGGCGCCCACGAGGCGCCCACCAGCGGGGCACCAGCCGAAGACCTGGCACACCCACCCCATGGCTCCGGAAGACAAGCAAGAGCTCACTGGTGCAAGAACTGCTTGGGGCAAGTGCACAGACGTTCCGCGAGGACCCCTCGGATCGGCCCTGGCCCCCGCCTGACGGCGCTGGCGGCGCCGCTCCTGGCAAACTCCGCGCGCCAACGAGTTGGCCAAGCGCCGACCCGTTCGAACCTCCAACAGTCCATGTCGATGCCTCTGCAACGGGGCGCACCGATGCCGCTGCCCTTCCCTCGCCGGCACGGCCAGACTTAAGTCGGGCGTGTCGCCCTACAGGGGGATTCCGGGCGAAAAATGCAGCAAAATACCACAAAAATGCACCAAGATGGCCAAACAATGCTCAAAACAAAAATCCCATGACTATTTTTGGATTATTTTTTGATTATGTTTGGGGTATTTTATTTTTCGTCGAACATATCCCTGTAGGGGGACAGGCCCGACTTGAGGCCAGACTCGTCCCTCTGAATCCTGGCCGGAGAGGTCCAGAGAGCAGCGGCGTCGGAGTCTGTCTTGGCGAGCGCTTCTTTTTTTGGCGCTTCGACATGGGGCGGAAGTGGGGTGGAAGGGGGGGTCTGGCTCAGGACCTCTGCTTGATACGACCGTTTGCAGCAGTGCGTCCTATGGAGGGCGCCTCCACCCGCTTGAAACAGGCGCCAGAAACAGCCAAAATCTACTCCATGGGCCAGGTGGGGGGGTGCGAGGGCCCGCGCCGATCGGCAAAACAAGGAGCAAGAAAACGATCACTTGTTTAGAAGGCAGAAAGTCCACCCACATAACAAGCACCCCGACAGGCGAAGCCATTCAGTGAACGCATCCGGGGAAGGAATCGAAGAGGGCAGGGCTGCGTAGGAAACGCCCAGGGCCGTCCAATACACGCCCATTGTCGGGGTCCGGGTGGTGTTTCCTCCCTGGATCAGCGGTGGACACACCTCCATTTAGTAAACCTCCCTCTAGTGAAAACAGCCTGGGACCGAAACCGACGGACCCGCATACCCGCAAGAGTGACGGCCGCGACGCCCTCTCGCGGACCGAAAACGGCCACTTCGCTCATCGACGTGTCAGGGCAGGGAGGTCTATCAACCTCCGAATTGGTCGGGGCCCGGGTGGTGTTTCCTCCCTTGTGGACGCCCGAAATGGGTACGGAAAAAGTGGGTACAATGCCCAACAACAAATGTTGTCCAAAACCAACAGCGGCCGCTGTTGGGCAGGCGGCCTTCTGTCTCGAATGGACACGGGCCGCGGCGGCGTGGACAGCGAATCCTGTTCAAAATGAACAGGAGCTGCTGTTGGGCATTGTACCCATTCTTTCCGTACCCATTTCGGGCGTCCAGGTCCCTGGATCTGGCCATCGCTCGGACGTCCATTCCCTGTGTTTTTTTGGTTTCGTGCGTGGTTTCTTCGCCAAATGATCAAGGATGCTCCTCGATAATCCTCGCCGAGAAAACATGCACACGTCCTCCTCCTCCTCCTCCTCCTCCTCCTCCTCCTCCTCCTCCTCCTCCTCCTCCTCCTGCCAGGTCCCTGGATTGGCTGCCCGACCGCCAGGCAGGGGCCGCCGTGCTGCGCCGCGGCCATGCCGCCGCCGGCGGCGCCGCGGAGGGGAGGGGCCCCGGGGGCAGGAGGGGCCTCCGGTGCGCGGCCTGCCGATCGAGGTCGGCGCTGCTGCAGCAGCGGCCTACTGGCCATCGCTCGGACGTCCATTCCCGATGTTTTTTTCGGTTTCGTGCGTGGCTTTTTCGCCAAATGATCAAGGATGCTCCTCGATGGTCCTCGCCAAAGGAAAACTGCACACGTCCGAGCGATGCCATGCCTACGCTGAGGTCGGGCGTGTCCTCCCGCAGGCGGAGTGTCGACGAACAAAAACGAGCAGTTAAAGCATACTCGACACATGATCAAAAATGGTGATAAGATCCTCACCTGACTATTTTTTTCACTAGTATTGAATATTCCTCCTGTAGGGGGGCAGGCCCTACGTCAGCCTACGCGCTTGGGTTTGCCCCCCTCGCGTCCCTGAGGGTTCCCAAAACGGCGCGGCAACAGACCGTGCGGTGATCCCGACGTCCCGAAAGACCTCACCGCACGGCCAAGCACCGCACGGTTTTCTGGGGCCCTGGAGGCCACCACCGCACGAGGCACCCTCGGAGAACGACCCGCGCCCCAAAACCGCGCGGTCACCTCGGATCCCCAGTGAGTCACCACACGGTGCGGCCACCGCACCGCCACGGGGCCCCCAAACTCGGGGACGGACAGAACCACCTTTGGCAAAACGTGGTTCAGTGAAAACGACCTCGGGCGCAAACCTGGCGTGGCGCAAGCCTGGAAAATGACGACCGCGGCGCCCCTCGAGAACCGAAAACCGCGAATTCACGAACCGACGCGTCACTGTTAGGGCTTCTGTCCGCCCCCGATACCCCCCGAAGACCGCGCACCACAGGCCACTCCGGCGCAGGGGCTTCTCCTGCGCGCGGCCGATCCCGGTGGCCCCCCCGCCGCCCGCCGCGGCGCCCGCGGCGCCCGCGGCGCCCGGGGCCGCGCCGGGGCCCCGCCGCCCCCCTCCCGAGCCGAGCGCCCTTCGTGCCGACCAGAGCGAGGAGTCCGCGCACGCATTGTAAGAGCGACGACAGGCGGCGCGCCCAGGTTAGAAAGCAGAAGATCCGCCCTCATAAGAGTCACCCCTACACGCGAGGCCGTTTAGTAAACGCACCCGAAGAAGGAACCAAAATGGGCAGGGCTGTTCAGTAAACGCCCAAGGCAATTTGGTAAACGGCCATGATCGGGTCCCGGTGGTTTCTCCTCCCTTGGCAGGTGGGGGAGGCAGAGCGGGCGGGCCTCCTCAAGAGGCTCAGGAGACCTCTGGCCCTCTGGGGCGCGGAGGGTTTCTCCTCCTCCTCCTCCTCCTCCTCCTCCTCCTCCTCCTCCTCCTCCTCTGGCCCTCCTCCTCCTCCTCCTTCTCCTCCGACGCCGACGACGACGCCGACGCGACGACGACGACGACGACGCGACGACGACGACGACGAAGCCGACGACAACGACGCCGACGCCGACGCCGACGACAACGACGCCGACGACGACGACGACGACGACGACGCCGACGGCGACGCCGACGCGACGCCGACACCGACGCCGACGCGACGACACCGACGGCGTCGGCGACGAGGACGACGACGACGCCGACGCCGATGCCGACGCCGACGACGCCGTCGACGACGACGAGGACACCGACGACGACGCCGACGCCGACGCCGATGCCGACGACGACGAAAACGACGACGTCGACGACGACGACGAGAAAAACCAACGACGGAAAGGAAGACGAGAAGACGGGGACGACGCCGAAGCCGACGCCGACGCCGACGACGACGACAATGCCGACGCCGACGCCAACGCCGACGACGACGACGACGACGACGACGCCGACGCCGACGACGACGACGACGCCGCCGACGCCGACGACGACGACGACGACGACGACGACGCCGACGCCGACGCCGACGCCGACGCCGACGAACGCAACGACGCCGACGACGACGCCGACGCCGACGCCGACGCCGACGCCGACGCCGACGCCGACGACGACGCCGACGCCAACGCCGACGACGACGACGACGACGACGACGCCGACGCCGACGCCGACGCCGACGCCGACGCCGACGCCGACGCCGACGCCGACGACGACGACGACGACGACGACGACGACGACGACGACGACGACGACGACGGACGACGACGAGTCCGTAGCCATTTTGGCTCAAGGCCATGGCGATCCCGACGACCGCGAGTCCATCGGGCGCCGTTGAGCGCGAGGGACGCCGCGCTTTGGGCCAGCTTCTTGTGTCTTTCTTTCGAGGCGTGGTCGGCAAGCGGTGTGCGCGAGGCCAGCAGCCATGTCGGGCGACGGCGCAGGAGCGCCTCCGCCGTGGAGGCGCAGGGCGTACTGGGTCTGTCCGTGCAAGGAGTGGAACTGGTGCGACAAGAGGGCGACCTGCAAGTCCTGTGGGAAGGAGGCGCCAGCGTGGGCGAAGCGCCAGCGTGCAGCGCCCCAGCCCCAGGCCGACGGGGAGGGCTTCGTCCTGCAGCCCAGGGGTCGCTCGCATCAGCGCGCGGCGCGCCGAGCTGGCGAGGCCTCCAGGGCCGCCTCCGCTGCCAGCACCGCCCCGAGCAGCGCACCCAACAGCAGGGTGCGGCCGCGGGGCGGAACCAAGCCCCCCCCGTGGCGTGAGGAGCGCGAGGAGCAGCCAGAGGAGCCCGCTTCGAGCCTGGAGCGCAGGCTTGAGGGAGCCCAGGCGCGCGTCTCCAGCCTCCGCGAGGCCGTCGCCATGGGCGGGACCAGCGAGGCTTTCCAGCGTGAGGCCAGGGCGGCCCTCCTCGCAGCGGAGCGCGCTGCTGAGAGGGCCGAGGCGGAGCTCCGTGAGGCCCAGCAGCTCGGGAGGCCCCCCCATGCTGTCCTCCACGGGGGTGCCAACGCTATGCAGAAGGTCGAGAAGCAGATCACCGCCACCAGGGCCAAGCGCGACCAGGCCGTGCAGCGAGCGGAGGCCCTCAGGGGGGAGATCGCGGCGAAGCAGGAGGAGCTGGCCGAGGTCGAGTCTGCGGTCGAGGACTTCAACGGTCAGCTCGGCAAGCTCGAGGAGTCGAAGGCGCAGACGGTCCAGCAGGCCCTCCAGCGGGCCATCGAGGTGTGCGGCGGCAAGCGCCCCCTCGAGACCGCAGTCGGGGGCCTCGTCATGCAGGTCAACCAGTTGGGCGAGATGCTTGGCCGTAGCTCGGAAGGCGTTGCACCCAGGCTCCTGGAGATCATGGACATCATCACCACGCAGAGCGCCGCCATCTCGGACATGCTCCGCCCTGCTGCGCCTGCCGCCGCTGCTGCCCGCTGGGCCGACGGCCCCGGCGGGGACGGGCTCGCCGTCGACGTCGACGAGGAAGGGCCCCCTGCCCCAGCCCCTGGGGCCACCGGCCCCGTGGAGCCGCAGGCGCCAGCGGAGGCCGCAGGCCAGCAGGTGCGGCCAGGCCCGCCCACCCAGAGGGCGTGCCCCGCAGTTGGGCCCTACGGGCCAGCTGCCGCCCGCGGGCAGTCGGGCGCAGCGCTCGGCGCTTGGCCCCAGCCTGGCCAGGCCGAGCGTAAGATCCTGGTGGACGCCAGGGACGAGCACGAGGACTGCCAGGCCGTGGCCACCCTGGCGGCTCCTGGGGGCTACGCTCCTCTGGGCCCTTCTCGCTCCTAGCAGCTCAGCAGCGGCGACAGCCTGGGGCCCTGCGCCGCCGCCCCCGCCGTCTGACTGGCCGACCTTGCAGCGGCCGCGAGGAGGGCCACGGCGGGAGGGAGGCCTCGCTCCTGGGCCGAGGTGCAGTCGGGACCGCCGCGGCGTCCCCCCGACGGCCTCGAGCGGGCAGACGGCGGGAGGATTCAGCCCTCCGACGTCGCAGCCGTCTGCCCCGTCCCAAGGGAGCAGAGGGGCCTCCGCTGGGTTCACTCCAGCCGCCCTTCAGGCGCGAGTGGGCGGGGCCGAGCCAGCTGGCGAGAAGGCCGCCGTGCAGCTCCGTGCAGGCTTCGACGTGCTGGGCCTCAACGGCAACACGTGGGACCGCGCCATGGAGGTGCTCGAGGCCTACATTGCGCGGGAGGACGAGCGCCCGCACCTGGTCACGGTTCAGGAGGTCCGCCTTGGGCCTCGCCAGCTGGAGAACGCGCGCCGCCGTGCTCGCGGCTTGGGATACGCGGCCTTCTTGCATGCGGCTGCGCCCACTGGGCAGGCGGCCCTTGCTCATTCGGGAGGCGTCGGGGTGCTGGTCCGCGATGACCTCCAGGCGAGGGAGGCGCAGTGGCGAGTGCCAGGGGACTTCAGGCACCGCATGGTCGCAGTCAGGGTAGCATCGGCCTCGGGTTTGCAGTTTCTTGCATGCTCCTTGCACCTGCAGGACGGCCTCGGGCCCAAAGGGGTCAACCTGGACATCATCGGCGGCCTGGGGGACCTGGTGCTGACCGAGGGGCTCCCGTGGCTCGTGCAGGGCGACTTCAACATGGAGCCTGGGGCCCTCAACGAGCTCGGCTGGCCAGCCCTCCAGCGAGGTGCCTACCTTGGGCCAGCAGAGCCCACGTGCATGGCGTCTGGCACTGAGCGGGTGTACGACTGGTTCGCGAGCTCGTTCTGCCTCTCCCACGGGGTTGCCAGCACCGCTGTTCTGGACGGCTACGCATTGCACCCGCACAGGCCAGTCCTACTGCGGCTGCAGGACCTGCGGCCAGACGCACTGGTGCAGGTCCTAGTGAGGCCTGGCCGCTTCCCCGACGTGGAGGCCGCCAACTGCAGGGCCCACGAGGATGCCGTCGTGCAGGTGTTTCGGCGCAGCGGTCGAGGGCAGTGGCAGGCCGAGCCGTGCACCTGGAGCTGGGAGGCAGGCGTTCTGCCCCACGACCTCCCTGCTGCGGTGTGCGAGTGGGTCGAGGCGGTCGAGGGCACGTTGGTCGGCATCCACGACATCCAGCCCGACGCACACAAGCGCTTCCTGGGTCGTGCCGCAGGGCCGAGGCGCGCCCTGAGGCCGATGAGCGCGGTCGCGAAGCGTGAGTACCGCTTCCGCCACTCCGAGCTGACCCATGCCATTCGGCAGGCCCTTGATCTGGCCCTGCAGAGGCTGGCCGCCGACAGGAGTGGGAGGTGGCGGCTGTCGCACGAGAGCTGGTACTCGCGCGAGGCGGTGCGCATCTCGGGCCTCCTGGGGATCGCCTCGGCCGCGGCCCGCGAGGAGGAGGAGGCGGAGCAGCTCGACTTCGACACCAGCGGGTGGAACGACCTTGTCGGCCATGCAGGAGTCCTCGGCCACGTCGGCGCCATCGCGGAGCTCCAGCGACGGCTCTACAGCTCGCAGCGGCGCGACGGGGGCATCAGCTCCGCGCGGTGGCGAGCGCGGGCCAAGGAGGCCGTCCAGCGAGGAGGAAGGTTGGCACACCGCTTTGCCAGAGCGGTCCCTCCTCCTCAGGTCGTCGACCCCGACACGGGCATGCCGCTGGCAGGGATGATTGCTATTGGTCAGCTCGAGGCCAACTGGCAGGCCCTCTGGCAGCAGGAAGGGTTCAAGGGAGGAGCCGACGTCTGCACCTGGGACGTCCAGGACTGGACCCTGCCTCCCATCACGCTCGACATGTTCCAGGCGACGTGCCGCCGCTATTCCCCTTCTGCGGGGCTCGGAGCGGACCAGCTACACCCCAGACAGCTGCTGATCCTGCCGAGTGCCCTCCAGCTCCGCTGCCTGGACCTCCTTGCGGCGCACGAGGAGCGGCCGCAGGCGCTGGGGGCTTCCGCGACAATGATCGTGTTCATCCCGAAGCTGGATGGGGGCGTCCGCCCCATCGCCCTCATCCCGCTTCTTCTCCGAGTCTGGAGTCGTGTTCGGCAGCCCGTTTGTGCGCAGTGGGAGTCCACCCACAACTTCCACTTCTTCTGGGGCAGGGAGGGCAAGGGCTGCGAGAAGGCGGGCTGGATGCACAACCTGCTCTCATCGGCGGCCCGCCACGCCGGCTTCGAGGCTGGCAGCCTCTTCCTGGACATCGTGAAGTTCTACGAGAATTTGCGGCACGACGTGCTCTGGAGCTGCGCCATCGAGCACAATTTCAATCTTCGGTTGCTGAGAGGGCTGTTGGCCATGTATCAAGCCCCTCGCTTCATCTGTTTCGCGGGCCTGGTCTCCGACGGCTTTTGCTCCCAAGGTACCGTCCTTGCGGGCTGTGCGTGTGCTACGACGCTGGCCAAGCTTCCGCTCCTCGGACCCCTTCGGGCCGTGTCCTCTGGAGGCCGCCTGCTCGTCATGGGCAGGAACGTCGTCGACGACGTGGCCCTGCAGGCGCTGGGGACGCGCCGCCTTGTCGTGGAGCAGCTAGGAGGTGCGGGGGCCGAGATGGCCCGACAGCTCGGCGCCATGCACCTCCCGCTCAGCGCCAAGAAGTCCGTTTACCTCGCGTCCTGCTCTGGCCTCGCCCAGGAGCTTGGCGAGTACTGGGAGGCGCACGGCATCAAGTTCGAGAGGGTGCATCAAGCCCGCAACTTGGGCACCGACGCGAGTATCACGATGAGAGGAGTCCGTGAGGGGCGAGGGCGGGCGCATGATGCGCTCCAGCGGGCGCGGCGCCTACGTTGCCTACGAGCTGCAGGAGTCGAGGTGGACCTGATCCACAAGGCTGGGCCTACTTCCAGTATGGTCTGGGGACGGACGGTTACTGGCGTGGCGGACGGAGAGTTGCACAGTTGGCGCGTCACCGCGTGCCGCAGCGCTGGGCGGCTTCCCCGCGGCGCAGCCCTCGGCCTCAGACTGCGTTGCGCGGAGCTCCGCAGGGGCCGCGACCTGGACCCCTTCGTGCTGATCACGGACCGCTCGCTCCAGATGCTGGCAGGGCTCTTGCACTCGGGCGAGCTCTCCCTGCCGATGCTCAGGGCCGAGCTCGAGGCGGCGGCGTCGCGGCATGCGACAGCGACGGCGCCCTGGGTGCACTGCAGTTCCCCCATCGATGCAGCGGTCCTCGCCCTTGGCAGGATCGGCTGGTACTTCAGGTCCGAGCGGTGCCTCATCACGGACGTCGGGGACGAGCTGGACTTGACGTTGCTGGGGCCGCGCGAGCTCGGCATCGAGGCTGGCCTTGGAGCGAGGCGCGCCTCGGACAGGCATGAGATGCTGAAGCTGGCCTACTCCTCGTCTGTGCAGGGCTCTCTCTTCTGGGACGCCTTCAGGGGGCTCATCGGGCCAAGAGGGAAGTTCAACGAGCGCGAGAGGAACGGGCTGGTGGCTTACCTCACGAACGCGCACTGGCCGCAGGCGAGGCTCTGCAGCGCCCGCGAGAGCAGCCACGCCAGCTGCAGGTGCTGCGGAGCGGCTCGGGGCACCCTTTGGCACAGGTTGTTCGAGTGCCCCATGCTTGCGGCCCAGCGGCGGGACTCGGTCTCACCAGCGCTTATGAGGAGCGCTGTGCGGGTCCGCGCCCAGGGAGAGGCAGCAGGGGAGGACTTCGCTAGGTGTTGGCTGCCAGCGCCGCCTCCTCCTCAAGGGCCTCGCACGGACGCCATGAGTGTCTGGTGGATACGCAGGCCTCCCGACGACAGGCTCAATGGCAAGTTGTACTTGGACGGCTCGGCGGTCGACCCGCAGTTCGGCTCCCTGAGGCGCGCGGGCTGGGCGATTGCTCAGTGCGACGACGACGGCAACCTCATCGCGGGCGTCTACGGGACCGTCAGGAGGGACCTCTGCCCGCAGCAGACAGCCCGCGACGGGGAGGACTTCGCGGTCTGGATGTTGGTGAACTACGCGGGCCCTGCAGTCGAGGAGGTCAACATCGACTGCAATGGCACGGTCGAGTGCCTGCGCAGGGGGCTGGCCTATGCGACGGGCCCGACGAAGGTCAACGCCCACCTCTGGAGCAGGAGCCTCACCGCCTTCGAGCCTGGCAGCTTCAGGGTGAACAAGGTGCCCGCCCACTGCAGCTGGCAGGCGGTGCTCGACGGGCGCCTCACGGAGGCGCAGAGGCGCGGCAACCAGCACGCCGACCGCCTCGCCAAGCTGGGAGCTCGGCTGCACGCTGCCGACGCCCAGACCGTGGGCGAGCACCGTGCCCTGGCTGGTTTCGTCCAGGAGCTGGCCCGGTGGGTGGGCCAGGCGGCCGTCATCTGGCAGGACATCGCGGAGAAGGACAGCGACGGGTTCCTCGAGTCCGACGAGAGGCAGCGGGTGAGGTTCGCCGACCATGAGGAGCGAGCCGAGCCTCCCACTGCAGGCAGGCCGACGGCTCAGCAGCCGCGCGTGGAGAGCGCGCGCTCGGTGGCCAGTGCCGTCGGCCTCTCCATCACCACGGCTGGCATCTGCTACCTCGGCCACTCCCTGGCGTACGCTTGCTGCGACGTGGGCGAGGAGCCCCAGGAGCTGGTGGCCTGCAGCAGGTGTGGGGCCTACATGGTCCTCGGCGGCCGCTCTGGAGGCCGCCCAAAGCTCAAGGAGCCATGCATCGGCGAGAGGGCCACTGGGCAGCGCAGCCAGCGCCGCCTCTGGGCCCGAGGGCTGCACCCAGGCGGGCGGCCTCGCGGAGGAGACCAGCCCCCATCGGCCCAGGAGGCCTTCCTGGCCTGGCTGGGCCTCGAGGGCGAGGCGGGGCCGCCGCCAGCAGGCGGCAGCGCGGCGGCAGCGCCAGGAGGCGCAGGCGGCCGCGAGCAGGAGGCGTCGGCGCGGCCGACGGCACCTGCGCGGCAGGTGGTGGCGGGCGGCGGCCCGCGGGCCGCCTTGCTGGCCGCGTACGGCATGGACGAGCAGGACCTCGCCGAGCGGGTGCTGGCCGCCAACTCCGCCGTGGAGGACCGCCGCGTCCGCCCGCGGCGCGGCCGCGGCCTGAGCCCCGTCGGCGAGGGCTCGGGCGAGTAGCCCCGCCTGGAGTCGCCTTCATGGCCCCGCGAATCGAATCGAATCGACGGACGACGACGACGCCGACGCCGACGACGACGACGACGACGACGAAGACGACGCCGACGCCGACGCCAACGACGACGACGCCGCCGACGCCGACGAGGACGCCGACGGAGCCAACGCCGATGCCGACGCCGACGCCAACGCCGACGACAACGACGACGACGACGCCGACGCCGACGCCGACGACGGACGACGCCACCGACGTCGCCGACGACGACTCCGACGCCGACGCCGACGCCGACGAGGAAACCGACCACGACGAGGAAAACCGACGACGACGACGAAGACGAGGAATACGCCGACGCCGACGCCGACGCCGACGCCGACACCGACGACGACGCCAACGACGACGACAACGACGACGACGCCGATCACGACGACGACGACGACGCCGACGCCGACGACGACGACGACGACGACGACGACGACGACGCCGACGCCGACGACGCCGACGACGACATTGACGACGACGACGACGACGCCGACGACGACGCCGACGCCAACGACGCCAACGACGACGACGACGACGAGGAAACCAACGACGACGAGGAAAACCGACGACGACGAGGAAGACGAGGAAGACGAGGAAAATGCTGACACCGACGCCGACGACGACGCCGACGACGACGACGCCGACGCCGACGCCGACGCCGACGACGACGACGACGACGACGACGCCGACGCCAGCGCCGACGCCGACGACGACGCCGACGCCGACGCCGACGCCGAAGCCGACGCCGACGACGATATCGACGACGACGACGATGACGACGCCGACGTCGCCGACGCCGACGACGACATCGACGACGACGACGACGACGACGACGACGACGCCGACGCCGACGCCGACGCCGACGCCGACGCCGACGCCAACGACGACGCCGACGCCGACGCCGACGCCGACGCCGACGCCGACGCCGACGCCGACGCCGACGCCGACGCCGATGACGACGACGACGACGACGACGACGACGACGAAGACGACGACTTTTTCTGAGCGGGGCGCGGGCGGGGACCCCGTCGCAAGCCGCTCGCCTGCGCGCGCCGCCCGCCCCGCCGCCCGCCGCCCTCCGCGCAGGCCCCGTGAGCCCCCTCTCGGGGGCGTCCAATGGGGGCGGAGGGGGGGGAGGAGGAGGAGGAGGAGGAGGAGGAGGGGGAGGAGGACGAGGAGGAGGAGGAGGAGGAGGAGGATGAGGAGGAGGAGGAGGGAGGAGAGGAGGGAGGAGGAGGAGGAGGAGGAGGAGGAGGAGGAGGAGGAGGAGGAGGAGGAGGGGGGGGGGCGTCGCGAAGTGTGGCCAGAGCCATGTGCCATCCTCCCCCGCATTCTCCCCCTCCTCCTGCACCTCTTCCGTCTCCTCCCTGTGTCCCGCCTCCTCACACTCCCCCCCTCGTCCCCTCTTCCTCTGCCTCCTCCTCCTCCTCCTCCTCCTCCTCCTCCTCCTCCTCCTCCTCCTCCTCCTCCTCCTCCTCCTCCTCCTCCCCCCAATTGCGCGACGATGTCCTGAAAGGCCGCTAACTACCGGGCTTGACAAACACGCCTCGACGGCGTGCGTTTTCCCGTCAACCTCGGGCCCGCGCTGCGGGAGGACGAGGGGGGAGGGACCTGGTGGAGACGCAGGGCAAAAAGAAGAGGTGGCCACGACACCCAGGGAGGCCATGGCACCCACTCGCCCCCGGTCATCACCCCCCTCCCCTCTGGCCGCCCCCGACCCTTGCTGCAGGGCCCGCGCGCACCCCCGGGCCCCGCGCGCGCGGGGGAGCGGCGCCGACGCGAGCCCCGAGATCCGACGCCCGACGCTGCGGAAATCCTGCAACACCGCGAAATATCGGCGGTGGACAAACCTCCCTTTAGTAAACCTCCCCTTAGTGAAAACGGCCTGGGACCGAAACCGACGGACCTGGACCCGCAAAATGACGGCCGCGACGCCCCCTCGCGAACCGAAAACGGCCAATTCCTTAATCGACGTGTCAGGGTAGGAGGTCTGTCCACCCCCGAAAATATCACAACCCGAGGCCTGGACCCCACCTCTCGGCGGCACTCTTCGAGCCCGACCTGTAGGGCTCGGCCCCGGCGCCCCGAAGCGGGGGCGACGGCGCCCGGCGTGGGAAGAGGCGGCCGCGCCCCGATCTCCGGGAGTCCCGCCTGCCTCGCCCCATTCTGGTCCTCCTCTGTGGGGGGGACGTGAGACTCGTGTGCGGGGGACTCGGCTTGGCCCGACGGGGCCATCATAAAAATGGCAAGGGCCAATCTGAAGTTTGGCGCGAGCTCCCGCTGCAAACACCCCACGAAAACCGGACCGTCAAAATCCAGGACGCGCTCGTCAAAAAAAGGTCGGCAAACCGGGGTTCCGGCTTACTTTCCCCGCTCTAGGGATTCAAGCAGTGACATAAACATACAAACATGGAGGTCTCCGCGGATTGCTCGGATCGGCTCTGGACCCCCCTCCCTGGCGCGCGGGGCGCGCCAGGGAGCGGGTCCGCAGGCGCCGCCAAGAGGTCCCGACACCGATCCGAGCAATCCGCGCGGACCTGCGAAATTACTTGTTTATGTCACTGCTTGTTCCCCTATCCTCCCCAGACATCCGGCTGCTCTAACTGTTTCGATGCGCGGGCCCCGGAGGTCTGGACCACCTCCCTGGGGCCCGTTTTCCGTCCTGCATCGTTTTTGTTGGCACTCCCGAGGCAAGGCGAGGACCCCCCGGAGGCCGAAAAATGCCCCAGCCTCGCCGCTCCACCTCTTTTGCTGGAGCGTCGGACCCCTCGGCTCGCTCCTATCTCTCACAGGGCGCCTCGACGTCTGAGCCCTCGGCGCCCGGCGGCGGCTGCGGCGCCGGCTCGGAGTCCGGCCCGCCTCCGGGAGGGCCCAGGATCGACCCCGCGAGCCGCATCGGCGATCGAGAAGCGGATCGCCTCGGCGCCAGTCTGCAGCCCGGCCGGGAGAAAAGAGTCGACCCGGCGGGCCTCGGCAGGCGGGCCGGCTGCCGGGGAGCAATCTCGGAGCCCACCTCGGAATCCCATAAGTCGCAATATTGGAGCCCACCTCGGAATCCCAAGTCGCAATTCGCACCGGGCACGGAGGCCATCGAGAACGAATCGCACCGCATCGGGGGAATCGAGACGAGCCCTGCGCCTCGGCCGACGCCGGCCGCGGCCTCGGCCTCGGCCTCGGCCAGCAGGGGCTCGGCCGGCCCCCGCGGAGACTCGCGGGGCCCCGGCGGCCCAGGGGAGGGGCGGCTGAGGCAGTCGAGGCAGCTGGCGACCGCGTCCAGCGTGAAGTCGATGGACCTCGGGGAGAGCAAGGGGTCCCGACGTGCTCGGGCTTTTTTTGCGTAGATTATGCCCCCCCCCCCAACAAAAAAAAACAAAAACATAACAAACAAAAGCAGCAGAAGCAACAGCATAAGCAGCAGCAACAACAACAACAACAACAACAACAACCACAACAACAACAACAACAACAACAACTACAACAACAACAACAACAACAACAACAACAACAACAACAACAACAACAACAATAACAACAGCAACAACAACAACAAGAACAACAACAACAACAACAACAACAACAACAACAACAACAACAACAACAATTACTAGCACGTGGGGACACTCCGTTCTCACCAGTGCCAGGGTTTTCATAGGAGGCGGGCAATACCCCCACTTTGTGGGGGGGCCGGTTCAAGCTCTACCAAATTTCCAAACGACTCTTCGCCACCACCCACACCCAGCTTCCCGCCCTATGACGTTCGGACACTTCACTTCGTGGCATGCGGACGACCGTGGCTACTATTCAGGGCCCCGCGGCCGACGACGACGGCGTGCGCGCGCGAAGAAAAAACGAATGTGTCCCGCATGGTATTATTTGACAGGGATGATGGCCCTGGCAGGTGCGCAACCGTTGTCGCAGAAGTTCGAAAAAGTTGCTCGCAAAAGCCCGTTTGACAGAAATGTTTAAAAAGTGTTGGGTTTCCTACGAATCCGCAAGAGCGCGCGGGATGAGATTTTGACAATTTTTTGTTGAAAAACCATTGGTTTTTTGATGTTTTTATGTTAAAATCGCTGCGAACACTAAGGTTTTGGAAGGATTTCGTCTTGCGCGCGCGAATGTCCACTTTACCTTATTTTTTGCAAGGGATTCTTGAAATTTGATTATATTAGAACAAGAAATGTCATTTTCTATTGTTTTTTGCAAGGGAAAGCGGATTACAACAAAACAACCGGATCCTGTACACACCCTCTTTTCTGAGGCTTCCTCACGAAAATGATGAAAATGTAGCTGCGGCCTAGGCGGCGCAGGGGGGGCGCGCACCAGGGGGCCCAACAATAATTATTCTTTAGAATAAATAATGTTCAACAACAACCACAACAACCACAACAACAACCACAACTTCAACAACAACAATACCAACAACAACAGCAACAACCACAATTTCAACATCAACAACAACAACAATCAATTTACCCTCATGCGCGATGTTTCCACACAAAGCATGTGACCATCATGATAACCATCCCCATCATGGGGGATCATTGTTCTATAGTGGGGTCCGTTATTCCCATTCCCAGATCTCCCGCCCAATGAAGTCTTGGAAACACCCCTCCGAGGAATTCGCCTCGAAAACGCATGCCCGCGCTTTGCTGCGCCGATGCGAGACCGCCAGTGAAGCCCCAGGCAAGGGTAAAGCACAAGGCGTTGTTCTTGCCTGGCCATCGCTCGGACGTCCATTCCCTGTGTTTTTTCCGGTTTCGTGCGTGGTTTCTTCGCCAAATGATCAAGGATGCTCCTCGATGGTCCTCGCCGAAAGAAAACAAGAAAACCACGACGAATGGCATTTCACACCTACCGGTCGTTGCATTCCTGTCCGTTGTTCTACAGTACTTCTGCTCGGCAGATGGCACTTCACACCTACCGGTGTTGCCTTCCTGTCCGCTGTGCTGCTACGCTACACGCCTAAAGTGCTCCCACTGCATTCGGCAAACGCTCAGACAATTCGCCGGCCCAACGGGCCAGAGGCGTGCTAAGATCTCCGGTAACTGGTTAACAATTCTCTAGTTCGCGCGCGCGGGGCAGCCCCTGGGGGTCCACGGACGAAAAGTACCCCGGCAAGGTCCTGAGAGAGTCCCGGGAGGAGTCCCCCAGAGCGCTCCAGGAGCGCTCCATGAGCGCACCAACAGGGCTCCGAGACGTCCCCGAGAGCCCCAAGAAAGGCCAAGAGGCCCCCAAGAGGCCCCCAAGATGGTACACGAGGGGTCCGACATGCCACAAGATCGCTCCAAGACGCCCAAGATAGCCCCCAGACGCCCCAAGAGGCCTCCAAGAGCACTCCCAAGAGGGCCCCCGGAGGCAAAATTCATTGTTTTTCCTTAGGTTTTTGAGAGATTTTGGAGCTTCCACCTTTTCGGTTCCCGACGCCCCAAGACGGCCCCAGAGGCCCCCAAGATCGCCCCAAGAGGGCCCAAGAGGCCCCCAAGAGGGCCCCAAGATGGCCCAAGAGGGCTCGAAGACGGCCCAAGAAGCCTCCAAGACGGTCCAAGAGGGCCCCAAGAACACCCCCAAAGGGGCCCCAGAGAGGGAACACGAAACAAAATTTCGAGCCCTCGGCCCTAAGAAGCCCCTACGAGGCCCCAAGAGGCCCCTAAGAGGCCCCAAAAGGCCCCCACGAGGCCCTCAGGAGGCCCCCAAGAGTCCCCCAAGCGGCCCCAGGAGGCCCCCCAAATGCCCCCCCGAGCGCCCCAGGAGTCCCCCAAGCGGCCCCAGGAACCCCCAAAGCGCCGCATTGACACCAGGCCCTCGGGCAAACGGCAGACATGAGACCGTATGGGCCGGCGGAATGAGCGAAGCGATTAAATAAGTTGGCGCACTCTGTCAGCGCCAGTGGAGCGGACAAATCGTGCATCCCCTGTCCCAAAGGACGATGCGTCATTCTGTGTCACTATCTGACTCTGCTATGGGAATTAGAGGAGATAACACTGCGTGAACGGCCATCCCCCAGCCTTGTACGAAGTGCGGCTCTACTCCGGGCGCTCACCAAACGGGGATGGCCATCGAAGCAAGATGTCACGCAGAAACTGTCGGAAAGCCCGTATTGAACAAAATAGTTATTCGACGCGGAGAGTCCCCTGTCGCTTCCGCCTGTGAGTGTCTGAATGGAAGAGTATTCGCCCGTGGCGACTCAGCGCTCCCCCTGTGGAGTGCTCACATGATATGCCTGCTACACTGGGATGCTTGTGGGGCGTTGAGGGGACAGGGGTCGGAGGCGCCTAAACAGAAGGGGCCCCAGGACACACAAATAAATAATCACAAATAAAAATGTTCACCATATTTTCCCATATTTTCTGGGATTCTGTCTTCCCCCCCACTTCCCAGATTTTCCCATACTTTCTGGGGAATCGAGGATTCATTGTGTCTGTGTGTTTTTTCCTCTCCTGATCAACCAGGCCAGAAGAACATCCCTCAAGAGCATGAGACCCTCCGTCGGCCAGAACACACAGAACATCCGAGAGCACCCTCCCTGGGATGCACAAGAACATCCAACAGACACGAAGAACACTACGGTACCCTCCCCGAAACGCCTCGATCTTACACCTCGGTCCGACTGCATGACGCGTCGCGAACCTGCATGGCAATCGTCGTGCTAGCACAGGGAACGCCGAATAAGGAACGGTGGGGACTCTCCCGACCACGGCGAGCATCGGCCACGAGCAGGTGCTCTTGCCCAAGACTAAAAAGCGGCCCGAGAACCAGAAACCCTCCCGACCACAATATTGGTCCGTGCCTCCGCGCAGCTCCTGCAGTCGGGCGGAAACAAATCGGCAGTGGCCGGCCCTCGGGGGAGGCTTCGCCGGGCCCCCGGGCCCCCCGAAAACGGCTCAGTACGAGCTCCCGGTCCCGGAGAAGGGGTACAGACCTCCAGAGGCCCACGCTGCGAAAGACACGACGGCGGGGTGTCTGGGCTCGGGGGGGGGGGGCGGGGGGCACCGATCCTGATGCACGGTACCCTTCCCTCGCTGTCTCCTCTATCCCGGCGTTGAAATGCACCAGGAGCCGAGCCAGAATGCCTCGGGGTCTTGAACGACGCGAGCTACTACCTGGACGACGGCTTGCAGAAGCCCGTCTCTGCGCGAATACCTCGCATATGGGATTTCGTCTGCTGCTTCCGCCTTGCAGCGATGCCATCGGCCCCAGACACGCGCGCACGCCGCAGGCTCCAGGCAATCCTGCAACGACGGATCATTCCATGTCTCTCTCTCTCTCTCTCTCTCTCACTCGCCTGCCTCTCTGGGCCACCATGGGAACCCTCTCCACCACGGCCGTACTCGCCTCCAGAATTTCCGTCGGAATACACCCTGAGGGAGGTCTCAAGGGGTAGCGGTATCGACATCTTTGTGTTCCCCAGGGACTGGTCGAGCACCCACTCTCCAACCACGAACGCGAACGCCGCCGCCAATGGCGTCCACATCATTAGAAACACGCTGAGCACGGGGATCGAGGAGAGCACCATCCAGGCCATCAGCAGGATCCAGAATGCCAGTCGCGTGACGCACTCTGGGCTCTTCCCTGCCACCTTGGCCGCGCAATCGGCAGCGACGATCCAGAGCAAAAGATAAGTTAGCACCCAACTGACTATCGAAACCACCTGCCACAATAGATACACCACCATCACCGCCGCGGCAGCTGCCACCAGCCGTGGCCCCCAAGCCTCCCCCAAGCTTACCAGCCAGCTCCTGGACTGCCCAGCCACATTGACGGCAGTGACCGCAGACCTCGCCGACAGCTTGGAGGAGACCATGCGAAGCAGGTCTGCCAACTTGGTGGTGAGAGTGCCGCAGAAGGATATCATGTACGGGGCAAGCAGGCTCCAACCCCACCACTGCAACAGCAGCGTCAGATCGAGCACCAGCCCGTCAAAAGACGAGGACTGCTGCTCCGGAACCGCGTCGCGCAGAACACTCAAGGTGTTGAGAAACGGCCAGCACGCCCAGAACTGCAGCCATACGCGCACCTTTGAATCGAGAACGTCCTGCTCAGCGTCGCGTTCCACAAGCGCACTCGAGTCCTGGCTCCCCGGCTCCTGACTTACGAAAATCCCCCACAAGGAGGGTCGTGCGGGTCTGGCCTTGGCGGACCTCTCCAGCCTTTCCCTCTCCCTCTTGCGTTTGTGCCTCTGCAGTGCGAAGAACGCTCGCAGACTCTCTGCGAACGGCAGGGGGCACTGGAAGAACCAGACGATGCTGGACGACCAGCTCGGCAGCTCCCTCAGCGTCCACCAGCTCAGGTAGCCCACGACCAAGAAGGACAGGTGAAACAACGCCGTGGGGAGAACCCTTCGCAGCTCCTGGCAGAACCCAGCGGCTCTGTCCCCCTGCCGGGCGCACCAGCCCCTGCATGCGCCGCAGCACCTGATCTCCCCTGCCTTCTTCTTGGTCTCCTCCACCTTCGGGAGGGGTAAGGAATACTCCAGTTTCCTTCACGAGCACCCTCCCCATGCCCACCCACCCGACGGCGTGCGCTGGCCCCCCCCCCCGCGCCCCCCGCACCCCCCTCCCCCCTCCCAAGCGATCTTCCCCCCCCCCCCACACTCCCAGCGAAGGAGAGCTCATGCCTACACCCCCGAGCGGTCCACCCCCCACGCAGATTGAACAACTCGGAGTATCAATGACACTCGCGGCGTCATTCAAACTGCATGTGCTACCCATTGATTGGTTGTACAAAGCCCTGGTCGTCGCTACTCCACAGAAGCACGCCGATGCCATCGGCCGACCGGCGTGACATTGGTTCTGTTTCTGTCGCACAGCAACCTTGCTCCTGAATGCCCGCGCGCCCATGATGCAATGCTGCAGGACAACCCACACGCCGTACACAAAGACACAGAACAGCAGGAAGAGGACAACGTCCTCCCAGGTGAGCCTCTGGCCGAACCTGGGAGGCCGCAGGCATTCCACGCGCACACACACGCATACACACCTCCTCCTGCTCCCGTGGGTTGGCGGCGCACACTCCGGGGTGGAGCGAGGGGGGTGGCCTTCTGAGGAGGCGAGGTGCTTCTTAGAAGGCGGGGGGCGTCTGAGAGAGAAGCAAAGGGAGGCTTCCAAGAAGCCTCCTTCGGAGCCCGAAGGGCTTCTGAGAGGGCCCCCGCCTTTTTGAAACGCACCCCGCTCCCTTCGGAGGCCCCTCCACTTGCGCCACCCCGCCTCGTGCGAGCCGCCAAGCGAGGGCGATGGGGTTTATCGCCGCGGGCTGCTTTTGCAGATGCTGGGCCCAGAAGCGGCCCAGACCCAGATACTGCAGCGAATAACCAGACGAGAGAGTGACATTCAACAACACATCGCTCAGCAACCGCGGAGGGGAGGGGGGGAGCGAAAAGAGGAACCCCACCCCCCCACTGCGGAGGTAGAATTCTGGAACAGAGTAAGGATACTGTCGAACATTAATTGCCGAATACGGTTGAAGGAAATTCAATCGAACTCGCACCGCTATGTTTTCACTAGTCTGGCACGCTCCCGTCAAGTCCGACTATCGCTGACAGGGCTTCCAGATGTTTGAACTCAGCCTGCTATGCGCATGGCCCTGGGGATCGCGCGCGCGGTGCGCGAACGAGGCGGGGGGAAAGGGGCGAGGGGAGAACCCCCCACCCACCCTCTGCACGGAAGGGGCGGGGGGGAAGTCAAAGGAGAACCTCCTCCCTCCCGCCGCGCAAGAGCGTCCCCCCTCCATCGGGGAGACGTACGACTCGGGTACGGGGGGGACTCTGGTTGGCCTGACGGGGCCATCATACAAATGACGAGGCCCCATCTGAAATTTGACGCGAACTCCCGCTGCAAACATCCCACGAAAACCGGACCGTCAAAATCCACGCCGCGCTCGTCAAAAAAGGTCGGTAAACCCCAATTCCCGCTTACTCGAGTCTTACGTTTCCCCGACGAGAGCGTCCCCCCCCCCTCCAGCACTCGGACTCCCCCCTCCCCTCTCAGCGCACAAAGACCCCCCCTCCCCGGCGGGAGACTTTCTCTCTCCCGCCCGCGTGCTTCATCCTCCCCCGGCACTCGCGTCTCCCTCTCCCCGCCCCGCGCACGAGCCCCCCGCCCCGCTCTGGCGCTAGAGCTTCTCTCTCCCACCCGCATGCGTCAGGCCCCTCCCCCCCTGGCCTCGGGTCTCACTCTCTCCGTCCCGCGCACAAGCCCGCCTTCCCCCCCTCCCCAGCGCTAGAGTTCCCCTCTCCCACCCGCGTGCTGCACCCCCCCCGCTCCCCGGCACTCGGGTCTCCCTCTCTCCGTCCTGCGCGCGCAAGCACCCCCCCGCGCACCCCCGCCTCCCCAGCGCTGGAGTTTCTCTCTCCCGCCCGCGTGTTTCAGACCCCGCTGCCTCCCACACCAGCGCTCGGGTCTCCCTCTCCGTCACGCACACAAGAGCAAGGAAGACCAAAGGAAAGCAAAGACAAACAAACAAGAGCAAAGAAGAGCAAGGATAAGCAAGGAGAAGCAAAGAAAAAGAAAGAAAAACACAGACAAGCAGGGAAACAACAAGGAACAGCACTTAAACATTAGCCTGGCGAAGGACCCAACCATCTGCAGATGTGGGTGCCGCAGTTGTGAGTATCGTCTTCGGTGGATCTCCCTGCGGGGCCCTTCGGCGGAGCTCCGTATGGGGCCACGATGCGCGTGAGGGGTGTGACGAAATTAGGACTGGAACCGCATGCGGACACTGCCACTGGGGCCTTCGGCGGAGCTCCCGATGGGGCCACGAAACGTGTGAGCGGTGTGCCGAAATGGAAGTGAAACCGCATGCGATCCCTGCCACTGGGGCCTTCGATGGACCTCCCTATGGGGCCACGAAATGTGTGAGGGGCATGCCGAAATTGAAAACAGACCCGCATGCGAACCCTGCCACTGGGGCCTTCGGCGGAGCTCCCTAACGGGACACGGAACGTGTGAGGGGTGTGCAAACATGGATGCAGAACCGCATGCGCGAACCCTGCCACTGGGGCATTCGGCGGAGCTCCCGATGGGGCCACGAAACGTGAGGGGTGTACCGAAATGGGGGGGGGAAACCGCATGCGAACCCTGTCACTGTGGCCTTCGGCGGAGCTCCCTACCACGACACGTGTGAGGGGTGCGCTAAAATTAGGGTGGAACCGCATGCAAAACATGCCACTGGGTCTTTCGTCGGAGCCCCCTTATGGGGTCACGAAGCGTGTGACACGTGTTTCGAAGTGGGGGGGTGGAACCGCATGCGGGCCCTGCCACTGGGGCCTTGGGCGGAGCTCCCTAACGGGCCACGAAACATGTGAGGGGTGGAGTGGCACCGCACGCAGACCGCACGATGGGGCCACGAAACGTGTTAAAGGTGGGGGGTGGAACCGCGTGCGGACCCTGTCACTGGTCTCTTCGGTGGAGCTCCCGATGGGGCCACGAAACGTGTGAGGGTACGCTGAAATAGGGGTGGAACCGCATGCGGACCCTGCCACTGGGACATGCGGCGAAGCACCCTAACGGGCCACGGAACGTGTGAAGGATGTGACCACAGTGGAGTGGAACCGCATGCAAAACATGCCACTGGGGCTTTCGTCGGAGCCCCCATTATGGGGTCACGAAGCGTGTGACACGTGTTTCGAAGTGGGGAGGGTGGAACCGCATGCGGGCCCTGCCACTGGGGCCTTGGGCGGAGCTCCCTAACGGGCCACGAAACATGTGAGGGGTGGAAGGGAACCGCACGCGGACCGTACGATGGGGCCACGAAACGTGTTAAAGGTGGGGGGTGCAACCGCATGCGGACCCTGTCACTGGTCTCTTCGGTGGAGCTCCCGATGGGGCCACGAAACGTGTGAGGGTACGCTGAAATGGGGGTGGAACCGCATGCGGACCCTGCCACTGGGACATGCGGCGAAGCACCCTAACGGGCCACGAAACGTGTGAAGGATGTGACGACATTGGAGTGGAACCGCATGCAAAACATGCCACTGGGGCTTTCGGCGGAGCCCCCTATGGGGCCACGAAACGTGTGAAGGGTGCGTCGACGTGGGGGTGGAACCGCATGCGGACCCTGCCACTGGGGCCTTCGGTGGACCTCCCTAGCTCCCTATGGGGCCACGAAACGTGTGAAGCGCGTACCAAAATACGAGTGGAACCGCATGCGGACCCTGTCACTCACTGGCCTCTCGGCGGAGCTACCGATGGGGCCACGAAGCGCGGGAATGGTGCGCTGGAATGGGGGGGGGAACATGCGGACCCTGCATTTGGGCCTTCGGCGGAGCTCCCGATGGAGCCACGAAACGGGTAAGTGGTGCTAAGGATGGGAGGAGGGAGGCGGGGGAGGAGGAAGGAGTGAGTGACGCGGGGCGTTGCGTTTTCAAAACGAGGGCCAAACACCACCGGATGGTTGGGAACAAGGAGAAGCCGGGGTAAGCCAGGCAAAGCAAGGGAAAACCAAAGACACATAAAGAGGACAACGAACATCAAAACACCAAAAAAAACATAAAAATACAACACACAACAAAGAAAATCAATGATCAACACGGAAAAGAAACGAAAAGCAATGAGAAAGACTGGGGAACAATGAAAAACAGTAAAAACCAAGCAACACAAGGCAGGGCAAGAACGATCAAGAAAAAGGCAGGACACGCATTACAAAATTAGCCTGGCTAAAGACCCAACCATATGCAGTTGTGAGCACCGTCGTTGTATGCACCGCATTCGGAGGAGCTCCCTGTAGAGCCAAGAAACGTGTGAGGGGTGTGCCAAAATTTGCCCGGTGGGCGCATGCGAAAGCAGCCACAGGGGCCGTTGGTGGAATTCCTTATGGGGCCACGAAACGCGTGAGAGGTGTGCCGAAGTAGGTGCGGTGGGCGCATGCGAACGCAGCCACTGGGGCCGTCGGTGGAGCTCCCCATGGGGCCACGAAACGTGTGAGGGGTGTGCCGAAATAGGTGTGGTGGGCGCATGCGAACGCAGCCACTGCCGCCTTCGGTGGAGCTCCCATATGAGGTCACGAATCGCGTGAGGAGTGTGCCGGAAGGGGCATGGGCGACGCATGCGGACCCTGCCGCTGGCGCCTTCGTTAGAGCTCCCTATGGGGCCACGAAGCGTGTGAGGGGTGTGCCGAAATGGGTGCGGGTGACGCATGCGGGCGGTGGCACCGGGGCCTTCGGTGGAGCTCCCATATGGTGCCACGAAACGTGTGAGGTGTATGCCCGAATGGGTGTGGGTGACGCATGCGGGCGGTGGCACTGGGGCCTTCGGTGGAGCTACCTATGGGGCCACGAATCGTGTGAGAGGTGTGTCGAGATGGGTGTGGGTGACGCATGCGGGCGGTGGCACTGGGGCCTTCGGTAGAGCTCCCTATGGGACCACGAAACGTGTGAGGGGTGTGACGACATGGGTGTGGGTGACGCATGCGGGCAGTGGCACTGGAGCCTTCGTTGTAGCTCCCTATGGGGCCACGAAGCGTGTGAGGGGTGTGCCGAAATAGGTATTGATGACGCATGCAGGCGGTGGCACTGGGGCATTCGGTGGAGCTCCCTATGGGGCCACGAAACGTGTGAGGGGTGTGCCGAAGTGTGTGTGGGTGACGCATGCGGGCGGTGGCACTTGGGCCTTCGTTGGAGCTCCCTATGGGGTCACGGAGCGTGTGATGGGGTGTGCCGAAATGAGTGTGGGTGACGCATGCGGGCGGTGCAGGGAGGAAGGGTGAGGAGGAGTGAGTTGGTGACGCGGGGCGCTGTCTCTTCAAAATGACGACCCAACACCACAGGACGGTTGGGAAAAATTATCCTGGCGAAAAACCCAACCATAAGCAATTGTTGGTAACGCGTTGTGGGTGCCGCTTTCGGTGGGGCTCCATATGGGGCCACGAAGCGCTGCCTTGGATGGGGGAACCGCATGCGGACTGCGCCACCGGGGCGGGCCTTCGGTGGAGCTCCCTAT